CACACATATACAAATAGATTACAATTATTCCTATTAAAACAGCAATGTTGAGGTACTACTATATATTAAATGAGAATGAAGTATATTATGAAGTAATACAGAAGACAATATCTACTGAAAAATACAAGTTGTGAAGGTAATGGTGATAAGAAATTATAAATCAAGCAAACATTATTTAGCACAGTATTAGAAATCTAAATTACATAAAGGACTTTTGTTGTATAGAAATGCTTTCTCAAATTTATTTAAAATATCTAACATTAAATATATATATATACACACACATATATATACATATATACATATATATGTGTATATATATACATATATCTTTGCTTAGCCCAGAAATTTTTTTTTTTTTTTTTTTTTTTTTTTTTTTTTTTTGTTTGAGTTTCACTCTTGTGGCCCAGGCTGGAGTGCAATGGCGCAATCTCGGCTCACTGCAACCTCCGTCTCCTGGGTTCAGGCAATTCTCCTGCCTCAGCCTCCTGAGTAGCTGGGATTACAGGCATGTGCCACCATGCTCAGCTAATTTTTTGTATTTTTAGTAGAGACAGGGTTTCACCATGTGGACTAGGATGGTCTCGATCTCTTGACCTCGTGATCCACCCGCCTTGGCCTCCCAAAGTGCTGGGATTACAGGCTTGAGCCACCGCACCCGGCCCATATTTTTTTAAAGAAAGTAATGAAGACTTCTTGTTTCTGAGAAACTTAAGGCTTTTAGAAACATTTGAAATTTTAATTCTTATTTTTTTATACTATGTATAAAAAAACTTGTTGTCAACAAAACTTTTCTAACATTTGCACAATTTGACAACAGATAATTGCTGCCGCATCCACACAGGGGGTGAGAAAGAGAAGCCTAGCTATGATTATTTGAAATGTAGTTCAGTATGGACTAAATCAAGGTTCATTGATTTAGTCCTCAAAGAGATATATGAAATGAGCAGCAAGGAAAATTAGCTAATTGGCAAAAGGAAGAAAAATATTCCTGGCATTTCAAAGTAAAGGTGAAGCAACCCTGGAGCAAAGTTATTCTCTGAATGATGCTGCTTCTTCATTGGACTCCCAGCCCAGTTTAGGAGACAGACAGGCTGCATTTACAATGCAAAGTAAACTCAAGAGTTACTGTCCTTTTTTTTTTCCTTTGCAAACATGCAAGTAACTCTATCCTCCACTTAAACTCCTACTTCATTCCTTATACTGATTCACTTCATATGCTTAACCTGATAATAAAGTGTCCACATCCTTAATTATTGCAATTATATAGCATTTCTAAAAGGTAATACAAAGAATGGTGAATATAAAAAATAAAATCTTAGAAAAACATTTGAAAAGGCCCAACTTAAGTCAGATACTAAGTCACATAATTAAAGGCTTCTCTAGTTTGTTGGAAAAAAATCAATTTAGATTAACATACCCACACCATTAACATTCAATACAATAGAATGTAATCAGGTTTTTCCATTGTCATTTATCTCCAACAATCTCTATGTCATAGAAACTATGTAATTTGGTCAATACATTCATTGTATACTTTTTTTTCCTTTAATATCAAATGTCTTGCTGGGTTCTGAACATTCTTTTGAACAGTTCAGATTCAAAGACAGAAAATATCATTGATATCATTCTAACTTTCTCTAAGAATACCCAAGAAATAATTTCCCACATAGAGTATAGCCAATTCAAAATTGTAAAGTTTAAAAAATAGAGGACTTAATGAGAGTAAACAACCCCATTCTTTTCTCTTTAAGATCAACTTGTAACATGAAGAACACTGTAAAATTAAAAAGTTATTATTATACATCATCAAGTGCTCACAGGCTGTTTGCTATTGAACTAAGAAATTATGTGAGGTTGTATGAGAAATGTAAGACATCATTACCGATTTTAAGGAGTTTATAGTTGACTTGAGGGACACAAAAGTAAAATTAAGGAACAATTAAACTTTGCCTCATGCAGTGGTTATTAAAAGTACACTAGATGTTTGAAGAGTAAGGTGGAAGGAATACCCTTTTCTGACTTTGTCTGAATAGGCCTTTTCAAAGACAGGACTTTGAATTTGCCTTGAAGAAAAAGAGGGATGCAGAAAATGGTTTCAGGTTGAATATTTTGGAAGTCTCTTGGACTCTTGATATTACTGTGGTCCCGAAGATAGGAGTGGATGAATTATGGATTGAGGTTCTCAATAGTTTAAAATGTGGTTGCAGGGAAACATAATAAAATGGTTACTGGATTGTGGAAAGCCACTGGGGATGTTTTCCAGCAAATGTGAAGAAAGTAGTTTGTAATCTGGAAACCATTACAAATTATTGAGGCAGTTTCTTTGGTGTTTGACTGCCAATTCTGGATTTTCTACTACTTAACTCATTCTCTGGGAAAGATTTTTTTTTTTTTTTTTTTTTTTTTTTTTTTTTTTTTTTTTTTTTTTTTAGTCAGCCTCAAAGAATAAATATGAAGCTCAAGAAATAATGAGCATAAAAGTATTTTCATTCATATTGTATTACTCCGTGGTACAATGACCAAAGTAGGGTTGCTTTTGACAGACAGTAAAATTTTCAGGCCATGAGGATGCAGATGGCATTGGATGAATTCTTTCCTTATTGTTGGGAACAAAAATAACACAGAGCTTTTTCTACCAGTTGGACATAGTATAGGTAAGACAAAAGGTTTTTCTTTAAACTAGTGAAAAAGGGGCAGTAACACTTTGTGTGTGTGTGTGAGACGGAGTCTCACTCTGTTGCTCAGGCTGGAGTGAGGTGGTGCAATCTTGGCTCACTGCAACCTCTGCCTCTGAGGTTCAAGTGATTCTCCTGCCTCAGCCTCCCAAGTAGCTGGGACTACTGGTGTGTGTCACCACACTCAGCTAATTTTTGGTATTTTTAGTAGACAGGGGGTTTCACTGTGTTAGCCAGGATGGTCTTGATCTCCTGACCTCATGATCTACCCACCTCGGCCTTCCAAAGTGCTGGGATTGCAGGCAACAAATTTTAAAGTGCTATGTCTGTGGTGGTTCTTCATATCGTCCATCTTAACCTCAGGGGATCTTTGGACCATTGATGTTCCCTCCTGTATTTGTACAAGGCCAACATCAGAGAAGGCCTAGATAGGAGCCAGACATGGACAATGATTTTCATGGGAAGCAAGGTTAAGTGACGCATTGCTTCCTGATTAGGTTGGGTAACCCAACAACTGACTTCTATTGGGGATTTCTATTATCTGTTTATCAACTGCAGAAATACTTTTTCTTCTTTTATTCTGTAAACAATCCTTTGTGAGTTGATTCAGAGTGCAAAGCAGGTGAGGCATCTACACTTATAAGACCATCAGGAGGAACTGGCAGTCTTGTCTCATGATCCCTCTCTGATTTTACCATTCGGTGCCAAAAACAAATTCATAAGTTCATTCATGTTTAAAATAGCTTGTTTGGAACTAACCTTCACACAGAGAGAGTTTAAAAGTCAATAACCTATGTCATCACTGAACTTTTTTTAAAACAAAGTCTTATACTGTGGTTTATTCCCTGTGGTTAAGTTGAATTAATTGCCCAAGATCTTAGTCACATTTTTGAAGTTTTGTCTTAGCCATTTCAGCAAGGCTTATCTTTTATCTTTAGATACGTTCTAATCTTTAAAATGTTGATACACTAAATCTGCAGGCTGTTTTCTACAGATTACCACTCCCTAGAAAGATGAAGGATTCCATTTGCTGAGTCAGGTATGATATTGACGGCGTCAGGAAGCTGTGAGAACTTCTCATTTAGTTTCCCACAAAGTGAGGGCCAAACCACCCAGCTTTCCTCAGCCAATGAATGTCTTAAGTTTCCTTGCAGAATAAAAAGTATAAAGGTCTATGACATCTATTTCTTGCTCACCAATGCAGGTGATGTGTGAGGAAGTTAATAAAATTTCCCAGAGTCACAAGAGACAAGGAAAAGAGTTGTGTTTCATAACTGGTTTCTCAATGCTGTCATCTTTACTGATTACCTTTGCTGGCCTGCTCTGAGGACAAGGGTCTTCAGAGCCAGCAAGAGGAAGATCTAGTTAGATTTCCGTGAAAGAAAGCCTATGTGCCATTCCAGTGCCAAAGTCCTGCCTGCCATGGAGCAAGACAGTGTAAGACCCTTAAACTTTCAGTGCTTTAACTCTTCCACAGATAATAGAAGGAGAAAGGTAGAGGAAGCTGGAAGCTACATCACCCTTCCATTTCAGGCGGCAGTGCAGGGCTCACTGGGGACTACAGCAGGTTTGTGGAAACAGTCTTTGTCACCAGTAATCATGAAACTAGACGGTTCCAGAAGCCTGTGGGCAGCATTCCTCCCCCATGAAGTTGTTTGGGGGAAAATAGACTGGGTGCTATTATGCTGCCAAATTGCTGCAAACCTCATATGAGGCCCTCAAACTCATCAGCCTCCCGCAGCATCTCCAAAGGCATCAAGTACACACCTCGGGTGGGGCCAGAGCTGGTGCAGGCCTGGGCTTCCTGGCAAGGTTTAGTCTACTCACCATGCTACACTCCCAGTAAGACCAAAATCTCTTTCAATTCAATGGCATAGCAACTGCCAAAAGTACATTATCTTCCCTGGCAATTTGCTGGGTGATTTTTGAAGGTATTTTTGATTATTAAACTGCCTTGACACACATATGCTTGCTAAACTACAAGTATACAAGGTCTATTAAACAGACTTCACTTTGGGGCGCATTCAGGTAACTGACTTCAGGTGGGGAGAGAGCCCATTTCTTCGCGTTATCTTGGCTTCTAACACTGGCTGAAGTTCAGAGAATCATAAAGTCATTCAAAAAACCTAGAATGACCTGCCTGAAAGAGAGAAAGGACTTTCAGTTTAAGGAAATAATCATGAATAACATTTCTTGAGTAATAATAATAGTAATAATAATTAGAAAGGATTGACTTTCAGAAATTTTTCTCAAGTCAGAGCTCCCGCTACTTCGGTTCCATCTGTTCTCTCTAGATGGAGAGGAGGAGCATCTCCCAGAGGGCTGTGTCCTCAGAAAAGCTGGCATCCCTGCCCCCTCCCTCAGGCTCGGGGGATGAGGGCCTGATGAATCTCCCTCCACCGCGGGGTGTGGCTACAATGGCCTCCTCCAAAAGGGTGCAGGCAGCTCCTCCCAGCCACCCTCCCGCAGTTCCCATCATCTGGCCCCTCTCCACCAGCCTCTTCTTTCCACACTGCCCCCCGAGTTCAGGGAATTTCCCCAGCATCCCAAAGCTTGAGTTTCCTGTCAGGCGGAAGGGATGAGTGCAAATAAAAGGAGTGCGGAAAGCAGGAGGAAGACACAGTGCTCCGGATCCCCCAATCTCTGCGCTTCCACCCAGCTCCCAAACGCGCGCCCCCTCGCAGCGCTCTCTTGACCGCTATGAGCCTCCAGTCCAGCCGCGCGGCCCGTCTCCCCGGTCCTTCGGGCTCCTTGTGCGCGCCGCTGGCGCTGCTGCTGCTGCTGCTGCTGACGGCGCCGGGGCCCCTCGCCAGCGGTGAGAGCGCAGGGAACGCGGGACGCACTGGGGCACAGCGGTGCATCCCAGCCTCTGCGGGGCCGCTGCTTTCCAGGAAATTCTCCCAGCAACCTGCCCTATAAAAATGTTTTTTTTTTTCTTCTCCAGCTGGTCCTGTCTCTGTTGTGCTGAAAGAGCTGCGTTGCACTTGTTTACACGTTATGCCGAGAGTAAACGCCAAAATGATCACTAATCTGCAGGTGTTCCCGGCAGGTCCGCAGTGCTCCAAGGTGGAAGTGATGTAAGTTCTCCGGTGCTGCTGTGTCCACTGTGACTTTCGCAAGTCCTCCAGCCTGGGTCGTCAGTCTTTGTGGCTCATGAGTGCATCCTCTTTTTCTTTTCTTCAGAGCCTCCCTAAAGGACGGGACACAAGTTTGTCTGGACCCAGACGCCCCTTTTCTAAAGAAAGTCATCCAGAAAATTTTGAGCAGGTATTTGTCACTTTGATTTTTGTGGTGATTTAGTATCTTCTAGGAAAAGCATAGACTTCACAATGTCCTTATTCTCTCTGTAGGATTTAGACCATGCTTAGAATTATAAGGTTCTTAGGAAGAATAAGTTTTTCTGGAGTGTGCTGAGAAAACCTTTATCAACAGGTCTATTACACAGACCTCATTGCTGAGATCTATTTTTTTTTTTGTCTGCTCTTTGCTTTTATTGATTTTCTTTTCCCCACCAAACACTTTTGAAAACCAAATGCAGTAGACAGGAATGTGGGAGCTGGTTATACTAACATAACTGTTCTCTCAACAGTGGAAACAAGAAAAATGACTGAGAGAAAGGACCATACATGGTAAAAATTGCCCAGTCTTCAGTGGAGCAGTTTTCTGGGGATCCCTGGACCCAATGAAGACAAGAAGGAAGGGTTGGTTTTTTCCGCGGTCAATTTTCTTTATGGATTCCCTACTCTGAAGAGTGTAGGGAAAGCCTATGCTTGCTCCTGAAGTTTACTGCTCAGCTAATGAAGTATTCAGCATAATATTTCCGTTATTTTACCTACTAAGTTATTGGACTCTTTGGCAATTGACCACAATGTGAGCAAAGAATCACTGGTTGTTAGTTTTGCAATGAATATTGAATTGAAGATAACTATTGTATTTCTATCATATATTCCTTAAAGTCTTACCAAAAAGATTGTGGATTTCATATGGCAATAATGTTTGATTAGAATGCTGCTGAGGGAGATATCCTGTTGTCCTCACCCACTCTACTCATAAAATAGGAAATATTCTAGTTCTGTTTCTTGGGCAATATGTTACTCTTTACTCTAGGATGCTATTTAAGTTGTATTGTATTAGAACGCTGGGTGTCTCATACTGTTATCTGTGCAGAAATATATTTCCTTATTCAGAATTTCTAAACATTTAAGTCCTGTTAGGACTAATATATTCTCTTCCTATAGTTTTAGACATTTAATGTCTTCTTAGTATGGCATAATGTCATGATTTACTCATTAAACTTTGATTTTATATGCTATTTATTCACTATAGCATGACTATAATTCTGGTCACGAAATATACACTTAGGTAGATCAAGAAGCTAGAAAACAGATAAATTCCTGATTGCTAATTTACATAGAAATGTATCCTCTTAATTTTTTAAATAAAAGCAAACAACAATGATCTGTACTCTGAAAGTTTTGAAAATATATTTGAAAAATTTGAATATAAATTCATCATTTAGTCTTCAAAAAACATACAGCATTGCTAAGATTTTTACATAGCTATTGTGTATCTTTTAAAGGTTTTGAACATTTTGTTATAAGAAATTACACAAATATCACATTCACTATATTAAAATTGCACTTTTTAAAAACTGTGTGTCTCCTTGGTTTTTAGTACTTATATTGTAGTTTGGAGAAACAATAAAAGATTTCTAAAACACTCATGCCATTTCTCTTGCTTATACTGTTACTATTTATCCTTAATTATGCATTATTCAAAATATTAACTCTGCTCCTCTCTGACTGGCAGAGAATGCCCTCACTCCCCAATACCATTACATTGGTTCAACTTTTCTCCATGCTCAGTCCCCTTCCAATTATTCCTTCACAGCACCAATAGCCTCTAGAATCTTTAGAAAACACAAATAATATAAGATTTCTCTATCTAAATTTTTTAATGGCTCCTTGTTTCCTAGACATGAAATAAAAGTTGCTAAACATAATGAATAAGGCCCTGTCTCATCTCACTCCTGATCTTCGGCACTTCAACTTCCCTTGTGCCTCACGTTCACTATAGTCAGGCATTCAGTTCCCTAACTGGGAGTACTCTTTCTGGCCTATGACTTTGCATTTGCTAGGCCCTCTACCTGGAAGGCACTTACCTTTTTCCGCATATAGGAGGAGGCTTATTCATCCTTCAGAATTCAATTCAAGCAATATCTCCTTCGTGAATTTTTCTTGGTACACTCAGCAAAGCTTGTGGTTTCCATCTAGGTGTTCTCATAGCACCTTCTAGACATCTGAATTATAACAAACACATTTGCATTGCTTTTATTTGTTTATAGGTTTCTTCATCTAACTGTATTAAGACCTCTCCTAGAACATCAAGCATATTTCATCTAGCTCTGCATCCCAAATGTGTGGCATGGAATGACTTAATGAATTAATAAGTTACCCTGACCCTCAGGTTGTCAGATAGTATACTAAAATTAATAATCTGGCTCATGGTAGATTTTGATTAAATTGTAATATGTTTTCCCTCTTTTCTCTTTCTTGTCTACAGGCAATCCAACAAGGGCTTGACCATGTGTAACCCTCTCAAGCTATAACACCTACCCCTCACTTTCACTCAGCTAACTCCCATCTTTCCTTCCCTGGGGGATACTTAGCTATCGTTTCCTTGAGACAATCTTTATAACTCTTACTCCTCTCAGATTAAGATCCCTTTTATACGCTCTCATAGCACTCTGCACTTTTTACTCATAACATTTTCTCACCAAGGTGGCTGTCTAGTTTATAGAGCCTATATACATGTGGTCATTTGCTTAGAGTCTGTCTATTCTAGCTTCACTGTAAGTTCCATGAAAGCAGGGAGAATGTTTGTCATCTTTATCTCAGTTCCTGGTACAATGCCTAGCACATAGTATATATTTAAACAGATGAGTGATCTGGATTAAACAAGTCTCTCTAGTATTAAAAGTGTCATTTCACACAAAATGCCTTTTCTTAGGAAAAGCAAGAAAATGAAAAGAAGAATAACCAAATTAGTATGTGTACACACATTTACACTGCAACTGAATTAATAATATTATATATGCTTATATTTGCATGTACTTGTATACTTTAGTGTATCAAACCTAGACCTTTCTGTATATTTTATCTCTCTTTATATATGAAATATAAATTAGATTAATATATTTTAATTATTATATATTGATATATTTATATTGACCTATATTTAGATATATACATGCAAATATACACATATACTGAATCCAATCAAACTTCTCAACCTACCAATTTATAGGAATAACAGAGAGAGAGAAAGACAGAGACACAAAGATGTGAAAAAACTTAAAAAGTAGATCCAGAGGTGGATTTTCTAGTAATTTTTTCAGCAATGAAAAGTACAAAAAAAAAACCTCAAAATTTTTAAAAAGCATTAAACTTCTGTGGTCTCTTTTTGTTCTCTAAAATGGCATTTTTTGAACTTATGAATGATACACGAATTCTGGGGAAACACTAAAAAGCAAACCAAATTACAAAAATGAGCTCTAAATTTCAGTGTTTAAAACAAATCCTATTATGTCATATTAACCTCAAAATACTTATTGAAAAATGCTTGATTATAATAGATTTAAAAATGTTAAATGCCCTTTGTACGGGGGAAATTTAAGCTTCATAAAGAAATAAACATTACTGTTATTTGGGTTTTTTTTTTTTTTTTTTTTTGAGACGGAGTCTCACTGTTGCCCAGGCTAGAGTGCAATGGTGCAATCTCAGCTCACTAAAACCTTTGTCTCCCAGGTTCAAGCGATTCACCTGCCTCAGCCTCACATGTAGCTGGGACTACCGTCAGGTGCCACCACACCTAGCTAATTTTTCATATTTTTAGTAGAGATGGAGTTTCACCATGTTGGCCAGGCTGGTCTCAATGGTTACCTTTTTTTTTTTTTTTTTTTCATCAAGCTCTGCTTTTTTTTTTCAGAAGCAGGACTTGTAACTTTAGTTTATTCATAAAGATAGAATGAAACATGATTTCTAATATTGTTGCAGTTCTAGTTGTCATGCTATTCTACAAATGGTCACTCTACAGAGAAAATAGATTACAGTATATTACCAAAGAGTAACCTATGCAAGAAACTCAATGATAGCTACTATTCACTCTTGCAGCCATTCCTAGCTGATCTTGCTACTAGCAAACTCAAAGACTAACATATCGGGGAAAATTACTCATGTAAATATACTAGGGATATGTCTTATAGTTTCTTCATACTAACCCCTAAATACTATTTTCATTCTGTTAGCCATCTGAAACTCTATCTTATATATAAAGTCACTTGGAATTGAACAAATGTGCTCACCTAAAACCTACTCTGTTTCTGCTCCAATCCAGACAATTTTCAATGTGTAATTAATGTCCCTCATTATACCAGAATTTCCTGTTTTCTTCTATGTGTGACGCATTCACATAATCCTTCAATTCCTGAAGGTATGACAAGATCTATGATAAAATATGACTAGTGGCTTTGTTTTTTCAATCACAGTTTTAATTCTTGCTTAAGGAAAATAACTGCTGTGGATAACTCTCTTGCTGTATATAACTTCAAAAGTCCTTCCTGTATGTTACAATACGAGAAATTTACCAGATGGAAGGAGCACTTGGGGATTTCTAGTTACCTCCCTGACTAAATCAAGGAAGAGGAGGAGAATGTACCATGATTTAGATTTTGGCTGATATCCCTGGTTGATTCTTAGTCAGCAAAAATAATATTATGTTCCTAAGAAGGATTGTTCATGCCTCAAATACGTGGGGTGAGATAAGAATGTAGAAAGACCTAGAGTTTAGGTGTACAATTTTGTTTCTACAAAATTTCAAGTCCTATTTCTGAAACATAGATAAATTGCAAGGACCTTTCTCTGGAAAATCCACCTTCTTAATGGATGTGTTTCTCTACCACATAAATTTATGATGTTAATTTTTATCTACCTCTAGAGTTCAATAAAGAGTAATCTAGTTGACTTATTTCCAGCAAGAGAAGCTAATTATGCTTCTTTATATTTTGTGGTGCAGTACAAAATTAGAGCAATTGCATTTCAGATCTAGTTCTGTGTATTTCCACCAATGTGATCTTGGCAATTTGTTTAACATCTACCTTCCTCAGTTTCCTCATCTGTAAAATCAGTATAATATCTCTCCTACAGGCAGTATCCTGGAACAAAGTAGATTATTGGTAAATATAATTAATAATTTCTTCCCCAAGAATCCTAGTTCAAACTCCCTTTTACAAATGAAAAAACTGAGAACTTGGTAGTTTTCTTCTAAATTTATTCATATTCTTTCTACATATGAATTTTTTTCCTAATTTTATTTATATTCTTTCTACATTTACAGGAATGATTTTTAGTACTCCTGAAATTTCTTTTTATGAGTCTTTTTATACAAGCTTATGAAAACTGTGTATTCTATTTTTTGTGAAGTACATGGTAACTATCAAAAATTATGATGTATTTTCCCTCATATAAATAGTCATCAATCAAATATCAATTTATTGACCTTTACTCATAATCTTGTTACATACTGGACCCTATGCAAGATCCTTATAAACTGGAAATTATAAATACGGAGAGTTTCAGTCAAAGTTAAGATATCTTTATAGCAAATGTACAATTTCCCACAGAACGAAGATTTTCTAACAAGGGGAGGGAAAGAAAGGAGAAGGGAGCTGAGGGAAGAGACTAAGAGAAAGAAGAAGTAAGAAGGAGAGTGGAGGGGCTTGTGTTTTGTGTTGTCTTTTTTCTTTCTTTTCTCTTCCTCCCCCTTCCCCCTTCTCCTTTTCTCTCCCCTTTCCTTCCCTCCTTTCCTTCATCCTTTCTGTTTATTCCTCAGAAGTAAAATAACCCTATTTAAAGAGAAGGAGAAGGACCCAGGTAATCTAGCAGAAATCTCAGCCAGCAGCCAACACCAACCACTTCACACAGTAATGAGGCCAACTTTGATTTTCAGCCATTTTTGTTGTTTCTGACTGCCCCCACTTAATTCAGCTTAGCAGAAGAATCTCACATTAACATATAGAGTTGTCGGAAATAATAAATTGTTGTTTTAAGCCACTAAGTTTAAGGTTGACTTCTTACACAGCAAAAGAGGGTCAAATGGTACTTGCTAACAATTGAATGTGTTTGCAGGCTCTGGAAAAATATTGTACTGGAATTTCCTCAAATGAATGAATATGTAGTGAAACTGGGTAACAGTCAAATATTTGAGACTCAACAAATTACACTAATTAACATAAATTGAAATAAGAAGTCTCAGGCCTGCAAAACTTTGCAGCACTTCTATGTAACAGCACCCAGGAAGAAATTTTCCCAGCTCCACTTTCCCCACTCTTTCCCCACTCACACTCCATGCCTCACTGGAAGACAGTAGAACCTCCATTAACCAGAATGCCAGAGGTCTGAATAATTCTTATCAACTGCGAGTCACACATAAAGCACATTTGGTTTCAGCACTTAATAGAAAATCTTTTGTTGACTAGTTTTTAAATTTATTGATTAAGATACTTTAACTAACCAACCCAAAATTTTTACTACCTTTAGGATATTCTGTTCAAATTGCTTTTATGATTGATAGCTTATTGACCTATACTTAAAAGAAGGATTGGGAAATGTCAGCTCAAAATGTTCTATGTAGGGCAGGAATAATATGTCTTCATTTCAATGG